GCCTCATTTACATGAACACACTATCAGACAGATACAAACCACTGCAACACATTTCCCTTTCTGCAGCTCCCGGTCCAGTGCTACCAGTGCCACCAGTGCTACCAGTGCCACCAGTGCCACCAGTGCTACCAGTGCCACCAGTGCCACCAGTGCTACCAGTGCCAAAGCATCACTGACTGTATGGGCAGTCTTTTATTTTGCTATCACAGCAAGGGCCTTTACGTAACATGCCGAGCTCCAGAAACGCACATCCTTCACATCTTAAGTCCCACATTTGCGTTTCACACAGTTCTGTTGGAGTCGAAAGTTCACATCTGAAAACTTAAAACATCCCAAATATGCAACTAAGTGGAGGAAAGTATGAACTGGAACTTGGATGGAGTCTGACTCCAACAGCTGATGTGAACGGGAGCCAATTCAGGACCAATGAGTCACAGCGGTTTGTTGTGAGAAGAGATCAGGTCTCTCTGCGGGCCAGACTTTCCTCGATGGTGGAGCCCATCATCGACCAGCTGTGCTGTTAGCAAGAAAGAGGCTTTTTTTAGTCCCTCTTGTGCTTGTACTGTCAGTCCCATATCACCGTCCACTGTCAGACTCAAATAAGTTGATAAGTCCTGTACTGGGCCTCTGTACGAGTGCTTCAGTTTAAAACAAGCTGCTTTAGCCCCTCCCCTTAAAGGCCAACCTGTCTTTAAGCCAACTTTTCACTTATTGGCTGCCCGTCATAAACAAACGTTTGAACAGCAAGTATGTAGAGCTTCTGTGGCCCAGATTTCAGCCATTCGCCTGAGAAGACCATATTAGGATATTCCCTCTCTGTGACATCATGCAGTTCAATTCAGTTGTTGTTATTGAAACTTTAAGCTAACAGGAAGACGAGCTGTGAAACCGAGAGATTAGAGCAGTCTGCAGCCCCAGCTTCGGCTCACAGAGAGGACTTATTATCTGAAGTATGGTCATGTTTAACATGAGCCTTCACTCCTGGAGCAGAGATACGTGACTGACAATAAGGAAAACTCATGTTTATTTATACAGCAGGAAAGAAGACGCGCTGCGACAGCAAACTGAAGCGCAGCTCGTGTTTTTCCACCCTGGCTTGGTGTGAAGTCACAAACAGCTGAAGTAGTCTAACTGGTCCGGCTCTCCAAACTGAACTATTTTCACGTCCTTCTTCACTTTAAACCTGAGCTGTCGTTACTTTCTATTAGATGGAGAGCTGGAGGCTCTCTGTGCTGTAACACAGAGGTCAAAGGTGAACAGAGCAGGTGACCAACAACAGCCGCAGACAGAGTGTTATTTTTACCAGCCAAACTAGAAACGACTGGCTGAGCCGATGAACTTATCAGGAAAGTCATTTCCGCCATCTATTCAGCAAGTGCCGGTGTCACCCCCTGTTGGCACTGACACAGAATGAAGGTGGACAACACAGGATGTGATGTCAGTGGGTTAGCGTGGGGATGAATTTATAATAAGACAAAATGTCAGAAGATGAGGCTGAGAGTACTTTAGTCACCGCTTTCAGTTCCTGTATGTATACGCGTGGATCGATGAGTTCACTGTGAACCGGACCTGCAGCTTTAGCCGCCTCGTCGCCACCGTGAGAAGAATCCAACCGTTCACCTTCTGACAGGCTGACATTCCCCGACTACACGCAACATTTGTACTATTTTCAACTGAGTTGCTGCCACAGGATAAACTTTTGTGTTGTGACCTGTGGCTCTATCTGGATCACATTCCAATCTAACTTTGAAAAAATGTTTTGACTTCCTGCTTTCTTTGAGTGTTAGGTTACACCTCACATTCCTTATTCCACATGGCCTGGGAAATCTGCACAGATCAGGAAGAGCTGAGGATCAAAAAGAGCGGTGTGCTCTGGATGCTACTTTAATAAATAAATAAATAAAAATGTTATTTATATAGCACCTTTCTAGACAGAAGTGCTGCACAAAAGAATACTTCTGATTAGGCTTCCTCAGGTTTTTCCTCAAAGCACAAAAAGAGATAAAGCTGCAAATGTTTCTGCTTCAATTATCTTACAGATTATCATGCTTTGTAAAATGCATGTTTGCGATTGGTCAGATGCTGCACCTCCATCAGGTGAGCATCAGTCAGGTGCTGATGGGGAAAGCTATCACGGGCATGCTGAGCTTCCTCTGATGCACCACCCCCAGAGCATCAGTCTGATCTGGCGTTCATGCAGTAAGGCAGCATGCGTGTTATTTTGGTTCGCCGTCTCACCAGGTTCACTTGGATGGTCTTCTCCCAGTCCTTTTCGTTGGTGATGCCGGCGTTGTTGATGACGATGTCCAGACGGCCAAATTGGTCCACGGTGTTCTGGAAGGTGCCTGTTCCACAGAGACAAGAAATCAAAATGGGGTGATTTCAGACGCTAGTACAGGAACTTCTAACAACATCAATGACAAGCTCCCATCAGAATGTAAACAGGGTTTCACTCATTAAGACTGCACTCGCTGTTATAACAGAGCCTCATTACCATCGTAGCACCATGTAGTTTACACTCTAATCTGCTTCATCGTTCTCAACACGCCAAACTTATCCGAGCTACTACCAAGAACTCTGGAAGTGCCCGGACCCTCGCTGTCCGGCTGTTCAGCCAAACTGATGCTGATCATCAAGCAAGAAAGGCCAATCATCATGGACCTGACCAAGAGGGGCCAATCGTCATAGAGCTGACCAAGAAGAGCCAATCATCACTGTAGCAGAGCTTTTGGATCGGTGGAAAACCATGCAGAAAATCTCTCTGCTTGGGACTGTCGTCACTAACACAAAACAACACAACACAAAAAG